ACCTCATACCAACTCATCAGTGAACATTTCAGTGTGTATTTCTCAAAATAAGGGCTCTCAAAAATCATAGTGTAAATCATAGTGTACCATGTATAAAAACAGAACTAATATTTTTCAGTATCAAATATACAATCTGTGTAAAAATTTAGCTACAACATTCTTGAGGTAGATATATAAATATAAATCTTCTGTGAAAAATTGTGTCTTTTTATTTGAGTATATCAACTTTGTCCACCCCATGGAGTGGTTTCCAATGAAATAAAAATGTAGAAAAAATGATAATCTTATGTCTGTATTACTATAATGCTCTCTGGTAATATAAAAAAATTAACATAATTTATTCCCTCGAAATAAGCTGAATAACCATTATGATTATTAACCACTAGATGCCACAGTTGCTTCACAGAAATGAAACCAATTCAGCCTTGATCTGTCAAGAAAAAAAATAACATTGAAAGCAGACCAGCAAAGTATTCAAGTATCAGAACCCCCAAAACTTGAATATATCCTCTAAAAGTAGCAAATGCTGCACTGTATATATAAATATTTGCCTTTTACTTTCATAAGTGGTCCAATTATGGTGTCTCTCTCATTGAGCTCATTGTACTTTTCTCCTGTGATTTTAAAATGATTGCTTACTCTTTCCAATTAGGACAGTGGCTGAGCACTGTGCCTAGTCACTCTCTGCCAACTTCATCTGGGCAGCTTTCAGGACGGCTGACATTCTAAAACAGGAACACACCCAAATCTGACAGGATGTGCCCTACCCACAGCGTGAGTCCAGATGGTATCTTATACTGTGTTCTAATAGCTTCCAGCCCGAGGAGGTAGGAAGCTGTATGTTACAACGGTCAAGTATGCACCCGCTTGAGTGTGGTAGAAGATTCTGGGAGGGTGAGGAGTCAGCTTTGGGATTTTCGCTCTGAGCTATCATATTAGGACTTTTTTGTTGCTGCCACTTTTCTCAAACTATGTCATCAAATTCCTTCATAGAAATTCTATGAAATGGCATAGAACTTAACTCACAGGTTTACTTATTAAGGCTGTCTTGCTTAGAATCACAATTATACTGGATATTTTTAGCCAGGTATAAGTACCTACATTCATGTTCTCTTTTAATATAGCATATAAGCCTTACTGATTTTTGGCATGCAATTAGTTTTCCTTTTTCAATGATAGTTTCCATATAACTTTGTCCTTCAACATATCCAAATAAATTTATTTCCTAGAATTTTCCATAGAACTTATTATTTTATTATTCTCAATTTTAAAAATATCATAGTCTTTGGTAAAGATTTTCCAGGAAATTATCTACCCTAAATGCCATAACTCGTTAAAGTATGAGAAAAATCATTTTATTGTGTTTTGAAAACAGCAAATAACTTAGGAATCTTAATAAATATGAAATGAAATTCTTATTGAATTTCCCAAACCTTCTACTTATTGCAAATGAGAAAGAGTTGCAGACACTGGTTGGAGAAAAGAAAGTAATGTTTGTTTTTTCTTCTATTTCAAAGGGATGGGATAACTTCAGGGATGTTCTAAATAAGTTCTCCAATTCTGCCCTTAGCCACTCAGATTTCTTCTCCCCCACAGGCCGTACAGTGCTCCAGTAAAATGCAACTAGATTGGCCCTATACTATAAAATGTAAATAAAATCCACATCCCCATTCTGCATGTTACATTTATCATCATCAAAACAATAGCTAAAGTCTTTAAAAATGTCTACAAGGTTCTAAACGCAAGCTTTCTAATATGAGTCTTGCTCTCCACTGAACATCTAAAATGCAACAGGGGAGCTGGGGAGATAGCTCAGTAGAATAAGAGCTTGCCTGGTAAGTACAAGGTTCTGAGTTCAATCCCCAGTACCACAAAAATAAATAAATAAATATAATATAATAAAAAATAAAACAAAATGTAACATGAACTAGGATTTGCTCTGAGTATTTTAATTCACAATATCTTTAAAAATTAATGTCAATGTGAAGAACATAAAGTACCTTACCAATGATTTCATATTGATACTATGTTAGAATTACATTTTTATATATTCATTTGAATAAAAGTATTAAAAGTACTTTTACCTGTTAGTTTTTAAATATGGCTACTAAAATTGCGAAGTGTAATTTATCATCGTAATTTGTAATTCTAGAAGGTTCTATTGCACCGCACTGGCCTAACTCATTAGCAAGTCATTGGTTGCTTCCCATTTCCAAACTACAGGACATCTCTGTCCTTGAACATGGTGCATCTGTCTCAGGGACTGTGCTAGTTCTTTCCTCTTTCGAGAAGTCTTCCCTTCATGGTTTCTTTTCTCACTCTTTGCTAAAATTATGAAAAAAATGTTCTAATCAATCAATTTGAAACTATCTCAACACACATATACTTCCACTACTCCTCCCTAGGTTTTGAAAACACCATAAAATAGATTATATAATTTTTTTTCTTTATTTACACAAATACGTTCCACACACATTCAAATGTAGGTGTGTGTACTCTGCCCTTTGTATAAACCCCTTGACACTGTGGTCTACATTATTTATTTGTGTTTCTTGATAATGGTATATGGTTGATAGTAGAGACTAAATAAATATTTGTTAAATAAGTCAAAGAATGAGACATAAATATAAGAGGATATCAGACGTTCTTTATCGTGAAGCAAAGTATTTGGGAATGACAACATGCCTGAGATCTACAATAAACTGGACTCTGCTAAGCACTTACATTTAATATCTCAATACGCCCAGGCAGAAATGTATTTACTGATAAGAAATCTAAATCTCAGAGAATTTACAGAACTTTTCCAAGGTCACTTAGCTAGTAGTGAATATGACTCCTATACCTTTATGTTATGCCTTCCAAAATTCCCAGACTAAACTATATGCTTCTAATTTCTCTCAGAGTACTGGAGCTTGCCCCTCACACCATTTATCAGCATCCTAATCCATTTATAATACAGTTCTCTGCAAATTGTCTTATGCTCCAATATAAGCATCACAATGGTAGGCAGTAAAACACCCTGTTGCCCGAATGTTTAATCTGTAATATGCATTTCACAAATAAATTAACCAATGAAAGGAATTTTCTCCTCAAACATTTTGAACAGTCCCAGAGTGGAGTATCTGTGTCCTCTGAGAATTAACAATTTTGTAGCTCAGTGGCATGAACACACACAAGAGAATGAATCCCAGATGGTCACTGCAGCAAAGTATTCTGGGGTGTAGGTGGAGTACTCGTTCTTCGCTACGGACCCTATATAGTAAAAATGTTCTGGGAATGTGCTGCTCAACACGGTGAGGCTATTGAAGCAAAAGTAAACTGGAACCAAAAATTTATTTCTTCCATCACAGTTGTCACATTTTGAGTGCTCCATAATTGCATGTGGCTAGTGGCTCCCTCATGAGATTATTTCCATTATAGGAGACGTTCTGTTGGATACCACTGTCCCCAAAGACTCAAAATGTTCCAGGAAAGACATACTTTTAAATCACAGGGGCCTTTTTGTTTGACTGATTCTGCATTCTAACTAAAATCCGACTCTGAGAAAGAGTCCAATAATAGGTACTCCCATGTGTCTCTGGGCAAGACCTAGACATGGAAAAGGAGTTTCATTGCCCAGCAGATGAAGCGTTTAGTCAGACACGTTCATGCAGAGCCAGTGACTGGTGTGGAAAGAACCACTCCTCCCAGGGCTCCAGGCAGCCCCACAGCCCCACTGTTCCAGGGATACTGCCAGCCCTCGCTGGATCCAGAAGCGATGTCCAGTGCCATTCAACATCATCTTTTTGAGTTTGATGGAGAAAGCAGAGGACTGAAATGCGAACAGGAGGAAAAGGCTTGGGGTACTAGTTGCATCCCAGACTATACTTAGGTGTAAAAACTTCAAATAAAGCTTTAAAAAAGTTCCCTTCTTCAAAATGCTACACTTGAGTTACTTTTCTCACAAGTAACTAGCTCAAAATTACTCTGTCCAGTACAATTTAACTTTTCTGATAATCTGCTGCAGAATTCCTTTTCTCATTTAGAATGTAAAATGTCTAGTGCCATAGCCTTAGCATACACTTTGTAGACAAGAATAAGAACTATCTTTGCTTTCTTTACCGCGTAGTAGTTTGGGTAAGAACTCCGAGTTTCAGGCACTACGGTATTTGCTCAGCTACCCACCATCCTGCAGGCACACTGAGCTATTCAAGACTGAAAATAGATCGCGGTTCTCACTCTGGGCGCAGGCCACCGGGAGGGGAGATGAGGGGCTCCATTCAGCAACCCCACATTTCCTAACTCCACAGGTGAGGAATAGTGGGTTTTTACATTCTTTAGGGACTGGTCTTCCCCTCACTTCATCAATCCCAGCCTTTCAGAAAGGCACACAGATCTCTCAATTTCCCAAGAGACCCTGAGCTGCAACGTTGAGTGAACACCCGGGAGGCAGGATGAAAACCAGGCAGTAGCACAGGAATGAGGCTGGGGCTGATTTTCTGAAGTGAGAAGGACGAGGCGCAGAGAGAGAGAAAGCGCCACCAGCCAGCAGCGGTGAGTTTAATGCGAAAGGGAAGATAACCACGAAAGTAGCCCTAGGGAAGACCTGGGCGGGGACAGAGTGGGGAAGGGTCGGGGCTGCTAGAGCCGGGCTGCGCGAGGAGTCCTGAGCATGGGATCGCTCTTGCGGGGTCTCGGGCCGGGACCTCTGATGATGGGGACGCGACGGGGCGCTGCGCAGGGGCGGGGCGGGGCGGGGCGGGCCGGGCCGGGCACTGAAACGGAGTTAGAGCCAAGGAGGGGGCGGGACGGGGGCGGCCCTGGAGGCCGGAGGCAGCGTTTCCTTCCGGAGAGGCCGGCTCCGGGTCGGCGCAGACCGGCATCCCGCGGCCCGCGCTCCCCTGGCCGAAGCTCTCCGGGTCCTGAGCTCCTCCCTCGGCCGCTCGGGAGCCCGGGATGGAGCGGTGGGCGGGAGCCGGGGCGGGAGCAGGGGAGGGGCGGGGCCAGGCGCGCCAGTGACAGGGTGGCAGCCTCGGCGGACGCGCTGCCGCCGCCGCTCCTCCTCCTCCTCCTCGTCCTGCAGCTCCTCTCGCCGCCGCCGCCTCCTCCTCCGCCGCCGCCGCTTCTACCGCTGCGGCCAGAGAAGTTTCTCTCCCAACCCTCGTGCGGAGCCGCGGCCCGGAGCGCCGCGGGGAGCTCGGCCGGCAGCTGCAGCCGGCAGGCTAGGCGCGGCCAAGTCTGAGACCCCGAGCCGGCGGGGGACGGTGGCACGGGCTGGGGGCTCGGGGCGAAGGAGGGGACCTGAGCCGCGGGATTTGTCCGGGACCCGCGGGAGCGCCGAGGCCGCCGGCGAGGTCCGTGCCCCGCGCAGCTGCGATGGCTGTGCGCTCTCGCCGCCCGTGGATGAGCGTGGCGCTGGGTCTGGTCCTGGGCTTCACCGCCGCGTCCTGGCTCATCGCCCCCCGGGTGGCCGAGCTGAGCGAGAGGAAGAGGCGCGGCTCCAGCTTGTGCTCCTACTACGGCCGCTCTGCCGCCGGCCCCGGCGCTCAGCAGCCGCTTCTCCAGCCCCAGTCCCGGCCGCGGCAGGAGCAGTCGCCGTCCCCCGCGCCCCAGGAGCTCCAGGGGCCGCAGCTGCCCAAGGCGGCGCCTGGACTTAGCAGTTCTCCGAGCAGTCCCTGGCAGCAACCACCTCCGCTGCAGCAGCGGCGGCGAGGACTGGAGCCCGAGGGTGCGACGGGGCTTCCGGGCGCCCCGGGGGCCGAAGGCGAACCTGAGGAAGAGGACGGGGGCGCGGCTGGCCAGCGGAGAGGTGGCCGGCCCGGGAGCAGTCACAACGGTAGTGGGGATGGGGGTGCCACTGCCGCGAGCACCCGACCCCGGGACTTCCTCTACGTGGGGGTGATGACCGCTCAGAAATACCTGGGCAGCCGCGCGCTGGCGGCGCAGCGGACCTGGGCGCGCTTCATCCCCGGCCGCGTGGAGTTCTTTTCCAGTCAGCAGCCCCCCAGCGCCGGGCGCGGCCAGTCCTCGCCGCCTCTGCCTGTCATAGCACTGCCCGGGGTGGATGACTCCTACCCTCCCCAGAAAAAGTCCTTCATGATGATCAAGTATATGCACGACCATTACCTGGACAAGTACGAGTGGTTCATGCGCGCCGACGACGATGTCTACATTAAAGGTGACCTCCTAGCGCCTGCTGTCCCCCCTCCCCATCTCCTCGCTCCTTTTCCCCCTCCCGCCGCGGCCCCTGCCTAGCCCCTCAGCTTCTGAGTCCGCACGTGCTCCGGGCTCCAGCAGCCAGGCCGACCCCACCCCGCGCCTCCGCCCAGCGTCGCGCACCAGCCTGCATTTGCTGAGTTCTGGACCTCACACCTGCCCAGCTCTATTTGCTTTGCTCTTTTTCTGCCCTCCTTCTTGCCCAGAGCTCCTTGTCCTGTGGGGTAGGTCAGGAAAGGGATCTTAGAGCTAAACCAAAAGCTATTCCCATTCTTCCTTCCTCCAAAAGCCCCAGGTGGTGTTAGTTTCTCAAAAAGGTCCAGAGGGGTGTGTCCTCGGTGGAGAGAGCCAGCCTCGGGTGTCCAGGCTTTATTCCCCTGGTCTTTTGTTTCCGTTGATCTAGCACCTTTTCAGAACTGTTGAGATCCAGGAGTCATTTTTCCTGTCTCAGACCTTTCCCTGTCCGTGGCCTTTCCTTCTGCCTAACTTGTCACACATGGAATCCTTGAGCAACCCCATCCACTCCAGCGCGCTGCTCCACCCAGCCACTACGGTGCAGCATCGAGCGTCCTCCCGCCTTGCCACACCTCAGTAAAAACCGGGAAGGGTGCATGCATTGTTAGGTGGGAGAGAAGGGAAGACCACCTTCCAATTACATAGATGCTGCGAGCTCCAGGCTCTAAGAGTACACACTAGTGCCAGTCCTTTGCAGTGTATCTGGTTAGCTCTGGCAGAGAAAGGCAGAGGCTAAGAGTCCTTCCCATAGCCACATTCAGCCACAGCTTGAGAAAACTTTTGTCAGTTTTAAAGGAGGGAGGCTCTTTAGCCAGAGGATGGGCTGCTCAGGCAAGACAATTTCTAAACTCAGCAGACAGGGGAGGGATGCATAGAACAAACAAGGTTCTATACAAGAGAGGTGTCTGTGCTTCTTAGATTTGCTAGCTTCTTGGTTAGAGGGGGCAGCCCTTAGTTTATGCCCCTACTTGTAGCCTTATTGCGTTCTCCTGATGTCCTGGTACTAGGAGGAGACAAGAGACTACTCAGTGGACTCCTTTGGCCAAGATGCTATTAGAGTGTTAATGAGATTTAGTCTGTTTGTGTTGGGAGGAGGAAAATCATGGTAGCCCTTGTTGGGATAGGAAATATCAATAACTGGACACAAAAATAAAGAATGCTGTCTTACGATCATATTTCTGAAACATGCTATTACGATTAATTCAGGGCAAGATGTTTCTTTCAAAAATGTTATGCACCTGAGTTCATCTTAATTTCTTTTTTAAGCTGGTGGTGTTTACACTATGGTGGAATCAACCCCTTGTATATCTCATTAAAATAAGAATGGTTTCCTGGTAGATGTGTCACACTTTGCAGATAATTTCTAGAACGCATCGCAACACCTATGTAGGGTCATTTGTTTTCATGCTTTGGAAGATTATCCTTCAGAACCCTGAAATGCCATATTCTTTCCATTTCTATTATGAGTGAAGTGCATTTTGCGTTAAGAACCCAATACCATGCAGCGAAACTCACTGCGATCTAGGGGCGAGGTCCAGATAATGGCTGCAGGGGCCTTACTCATCAGCCATGACAGGTCAGAGACTGAACGGAATGTGAGGGTGACTCCGCTTAATCTGATATATCACATTGTGAAACAAAAATGCTTTTGGGGTACGTTAGCTACAAGATTTTATTTTAAAATTATTTTCCCTGAGGAACTTACTACTGTAAACGCAGCCAATCACACTATTTTGTTTCTAACAAATCTTTTTCTGAAATAACACCTCTCCAAGATAAATTTAATGCACACATTCCCCAAAAGTGTGTCATATGAACTAAGTTTGATGACAAAACATTGAAGTGAATCAATTATCAGGCAGAAATTAATTACTGGGTATCAACATCTGCCAAAAACATACTAGATACCAATATTTAATATTATTTTATACTTTTGGAATTTTTTATTTCAAATGTAAAAGCCTATCTTTTTCTCCATACTATTATTTTAACTTTCACTGAAAAAACATGATTATTAGATTTGCTACAGTTTATGGTAATCTTGACCAAAAGTAGATGAAAATTTCAGAGTTAATTAACAACTGTAAATTAGTGATTTTACCATAATAGAATATTATGTTTCTCTTCTTTTCAGTTACATAAAATATATGATGAATCTAGTGACATTATTTGAAGTTCCATTATCTACATTGTAAGTTTCAAATAATTATGAAATAAAAGGAGTGATGATTGCCTTTCTCTTTGTAGGTGATAAATTAGAGGAGTTTCTTAGGTCCCTGAATAGCAGCAAGCCTCTGTACCTGGGGCAGACTGGCCTGGGGAATATTGAAGAACTTGGAAAGCTAGGCCTGGAGCCCGGGGAGAACTTCTGCATGGGGGGACCTGGCATGATCTTCAGTCGAGAAGTTCTCCGGAGAATGGTGCCGCATATCAGTGAGTGCCTCCGAGAGATGTATACAACTCATGAGGACGTGGAAGTAGGAAGATGCGTTCGCCGGTTTGGTGGGACTCAGTGCGTCTGGTCTTATGAGGTAAGGCTTGCGCTGTGGAGCCAAAGCTCGGAAACTGCAGGTGCATGCTAGTTCATTGTCTGGGGTAGTGATGCTGCTTATTCTGTTTGTGTCTTTGCTTAAAAGTGACAGTAGTATCTTTTTATGGGCATAAGAGTGAAATGTTGACGGAAGACTCCTTTGTTATTAGAGCTAAATCCTGTGTAAGGCTCTGCTATTAGAATGACCTTTACCTTTAGAAGCAGCCAGGTAGGTGCTCACATCTCTGGAACATACTGCTTCCTTGATTTGCATTGTTGGTGCTTTTTTATTTACATGTATGTCCATGTTTTGTCTGTAACAAGAGGATTAATTTTATTTATTTTTTTTTACTGCAGCTTTTATCACTTAGTACTACCGTGCCACCACTTTTTCTTTGGATACATATATGGCTATGCTTATAATTTTCAAATGGCTAAATATGAAGTTTCATTAGAGATTTTCTCTATTTTTTTGCATTGGAGATTTTCAAGGGGGAAGTTTAACATATTTTTAAAAGCATAGGAACTTCAAGAGTGTATCACTCACAGGTTTATTCATAGCATTTTAACCATACTATTTGGTAATTTCTTGGATCTCTAAATTTGTTGCATGACTAAAATGTATGTAGAAAAATGTTCTGCATGTGTGACTTAATTGCTTAGTATTTTAACTGGTTCCCTACACTTTGGTGATGCCTGTCCTTTGCCACTTTCTAAACACTGAACATTCCTTAAAGTATCCATGTTATAAATCCTTATGATATTGCAGCGATTAGTTTCGTAAGGTACTCTGGGATTTTTTCTTCTTTTGAAAACTGGTTTTGAAGTAAAACAGAATTTTATTTAAAGTATTTGATTATCAATTAGATAAGCTTAGTTAAAATTGACTTAACATTTAAGTTGTGTATCACATTTTTCAGTAGAGTTTTGTTTTCAGGTGATTGGAATTTAATTATGATGTTGGCTGCTTATTATATTTTCAATCATTTGCTTACTTTATCAAATATTTTATGACAATTATACAGAAGAATAATTTTCTGAAAATATGTTCCTTGTGAAGTCACAATACTACAAAGACACCCAATTCCATTTATTTTTCTTATAGAAATATAACATCATTTTAATTAACTTTGCTTTCTTTCATAGGCTTTGTAGTATTTACACTGCAGGGAAGTGTTTCTATACTTAATGCAGAAGGTGAAAATTATTGATAAGCAGTTACTTGCCATATGTGTTATGTAAACTGAAACGATTAAATATTTAATTACTTTTGACATTAATGAATTTTCTTTTCTGAAACTATTCTACAAGTATTCTTTAGAATAAAAATTGATTATCAAACATTATGATTTAAACATAGGTAATTTAGAATAAGTTAGTTACTCTAATGTAAAACAATCTGAAATATAAACTAGATATGTAATATAGAAAACATAGAACTATTTTTGTTTACATGAAGCTATTTAGTTTAAATGGATGCTAAGAAATCAATTTGTAACTGATAGTAAAGACGATTATCACAATGTATTGTCTTAACATCATTTATAAAGTCTTTAACAAATAATGTATTTAAGTGACCCTCCCTCCAAGTACGCACTGATGCTGCTGTGAAGGGCAGGCATTCATCTGCCAATCTGTATGTTTATGTTCCATGATAGTAAAATATTTTCAAAGGAGCATCCAGCTCCCACATTGATTTAATGTTTTACTTATAATATAGGTGAAAGTGCTTACGTAGCATGGTGAGGCTTTGGTTCCAATCCTACATACAATAAGTTGAAATAAAATATTCAAAAGAGCACATAAACATTTGTTCTATTTTACGGGAAGAGAAGTTATTGCAGCTGTGTAGCCTTTCTGTTAGAATAATTTGGATTTTAGATCTTTATACTAACTGATGTTGAAAAAAAGAAACAAGAGATTAAATTGTAACAGAGTGTAATTTAGTGAACACAATATTTTCAGTAACTTTTTAGAAACATTTAGATTTAGATTGACACTTGTTTATCACTGGCTTCAGAATCATAGTAAAACAAATTTCAGTAGTGTTTTTTAGCATTGGAAAATATCTTACAGAGCACTGTGGTAGAATTTTTTTTTTTTTTTTTTTTTGTATTTTAGGGAAGGGTCTACAGACTCATAGTGAACTGCCTGTTTACAGCCTCCCAAGAGCTGGGATTATAGGTGCTTGCTACCATGCCCAGTCTCAATTGCCATCTCAGCATGCCGCAGGGGCAGGGCCGGCAGGGCAGGCCCAGGCCCCAGGAAGTCAAACCCACGGCCCCCTCGTGCCTGCTTGCGGGTGCTTTAATCTGCTGAGCTATTTGGTGAGCCCTAGGTTGTAGACTTGATGTCTCACTAAGCTATCATATAGAATTTATATTGTCCAGGAATGGGGGTCTTCAAAGGTCACTTAAGCATTATTTATTTCAAAAGAGTATTGATTGATTTGATGCTCATACAGAGTTTCAAAATCTTATTTAAAGAAATGATAGCAAATTTCTTTACTAAAAGGTGTATTTAAGCAATTTTTAATAAAATTACTAAAGTTAAGTGTATGTAGAAAATATATTTAACTTTTTAAATCCTAGAGTGTCTGTGTTTCCTAAAACATTTGAGTAGGTAAATAGGACATAACCAGCTTGGGTCAGTTAAGTATACTAGGGTGTGACCTGCACAAATCTATCAGCTTCTACCTTGGATTTTATGTTAGCAGAAATGGTATCCATATAGATTACTTTTCACACACTATAAAAAGTCCAATCTGTTCCTCTTTGGGCTGAGATGTTCCACATAGGTAAAATTTTACATTTGGCCATAGAAAGGCTAAGATATTAATAATTTATTGTGTTTATTTAAAAAGGACCATCTGTGATAAAATTTTCTTAAAAATTTAAACTGAGTTTATCACCATCTTTCATAGATACCAGGGCTGTGCTTGCCTTTTCCTTCAAAGAGAAGTCCTTTGAGAGTCCTGTAACAGAGGCACATCCATGATTTTTGAGTTCAATTAGATGAAGTGTTCACACTGAATATTTGTTACCTCTTAAAGTTTTTGAATAGGCTTATAGCTCTTATAGCAAGGGAACTGTACAAATTATTAAAATACATGGATTGCATCACTGTCCTCGAAGATAAGTTGTACTTTTGTGAATACAGGAATCTTTCAGCGTGCTTACCTACTAAGCTGAAGTCTGTTCTCTCTGTGTTTTATACAACACTGACAATATATTGTGAAAAAGGGAGAGTCAGAGGAGTAAGTGAAGGAGGGACTTTGGGATTTCAGTTACTGTTTTATTACTTATTAGCCTCATTTTCTATTGCATGTTACTTGTAGGCATTGCTTATTTCAAATAAAAGCCAATATTATAACAGGGTCCACCTCATACATTTCTGAAAGAATAAATGAAATGATATGATAACCCATGCTATGTCTTTAATACAGTATTTAATGTAAATTGTTCATGGATCCTAATTAATTATTATCCTGATGCTGTGGAGATTGTATATTACTGCACAACTTGGATGGATAGATAAGTTGGCAATGGGACATGGACAAAATTTATCAAACACAGTAAGGAAAGTTTTCACTTTGTATTATAAAAAAGATAGCCAGATAGCAGTGGTTACAGAAATGAAAGAGACAGAAAACTTTAACAAGCTGTTTAAATTGTTTTCTTAAAGAGACTTCCTTCACTGCCAGAGATCTTGAATAACCTCCTGGTCAGTCATCCGGAAGCAATTCTTCACATAATTGATGAATTTGACTTCCACTTTGGGAAGAGAACCACCTTTTTCTATACTTGCTTACATTTTTGCTTTAATGTCTTCTACAGAGCTAGGTCCTTTCAGTGTTTTAGGACTCTTTTCCTGTTTCTTGAAGGATTTCTGCCCTTTTTGTCTTGGCGTTGACAGTTTTGAGTCTTCTCCATTCTGGTTTATTTTTTGTGCAGTTTTGGCTGAAATATCTCATATTGATTTCTTCACTGGAGCTTTCTCTTCAGTTTCTTCATCATCAAAATCATCATCATCCTCATCGTCATCATCCTCATCGTTATCATCCTCATCCTCATCCTCATCATTTTCATTGTCTTCATCAGCAGCTAATTCTTCGTTTTGCTGTGGATCGTTGCTGCCACCTCCAGGGCAGATCGCTTTCCAGATACACTTAGTAGTTTTACATCTTCTTCCTCTTCCTCTTCAGACTCTGGATCTTCTTCCACAGCTACTAAATGCTGTCCACTAATATGCACAGGCCCTGAGCCACACTTCAACCTTAAGACAACAGGTGATGTAATTTCAAAGCCCCCAAGGGAAACCATTGACTGTACAGACATTTTCCAAGTTGCCATGGTACTTTAATTGGACTGCCTTCATAATTCATAGCCTCTGCTTCAAGAGTGTACAATTCATCCTTTGCACCAGCCCCTAAACCGACCGTTCTTAGTGACAACTGGTGCTCTTTATCCAACTTGGAGTGGTAATCTTTATCAGCCTTTAGTTTACAACCAAAGAGATAGTTCTGGGGCTTTGGGGGACTCATGTCCATATCCATCGAATCTTCTGTGGAGTGGTGGGGTGCACTTAGGTGGGAGAGAAAGTGGACGGAAGTGAATCAGTACTGCTCCCACAGAACAGACACGCAGGATAGAATCATGCCAGGGAAAGCGCACATATATTTTATTAGTTATTGGTGATGGTAATTCACCTGTATCAAGAAAGTCAAACTACAAATAAATTTTCAGTTAGCGATTCAAAGTTTGCTTTTGGCAAGGAATAAGAAACTGGTGTGTTGAAGTGTTTTAGAAATATGAAGAATGCAACATTGGGAAAAATGCATGTCTGTTTTTAAAAATGCTTTAGAAATATTTGCTTCAGTTTGTGCATGTTATATATTAAGTAACTGGTTCTTAAGAAAACTGTGAAAAATTGCATTTAATATCATTATTTAATGTTCATATTTAATTTATTTTATATTAATTTTATTTAATTTAATGTGCA